TTCAGAGACGAATTGCTTAAAAGAGAAGCTGAACTGTAGAGGCAATTTCCATCTTCAGATGACCTTAAATAAAATAAAAAGTATACTAAAACAAGCTCAGTTTATATTAAATACTAGCTGGAAATATAAAATACCATTAACTTTAATAATAGGGTTTTACCTTAAAGCAACATAATCTTTAGTATCTTCTTGCTTTGGGATAAAATGATCCATTTCAGTATTTTCAGAAGACTGGCTATGTGGCTGAACTGGACTCTTATTATTTAAAACTTTCAATTCTTCAGTCAACTGGTTTTTATATTTGCGAATATTTGGCAAATGTCTAGCCTTAATTGCATTTGAGACTAAAAAATTCATTTCTTTTTTAAACTTTAGTTTACAAGCAAAGTCCAACGACGAAAATTACGAGCGAAGAACGTTTATCAGGTGGCATATCAGAATTTTGTAAAATTTGAACGATTTGGAGCAACTGATGCAATTGTTCTAAACTTTCTACAAATTTGATTGGTTATAAATAACATTTCTTATCTTTTTTGTAAAGTTTTTTGCGGAAGTTTTGTAGCAACTGATGCAATTGTTATTTTATTAATTAGTGATTGGTTTAAACTGTTTTTTAACCAATCATTAATGATTTAGAGTACAATTGCATCAGTTGCTACAAAGTGATCGGAAAAATTTGTGAGAAAGTGCAAATATAATTGGTTAAACCGTACTTTTTTTTTTTAAACCAATCACATTTGTATTTAATAAAGAACAATTGCATCAGTTGCTCCAAAACGCAGGAATTTTGTATAAGTAACAAATAAGTAACTATAGAGATAAAATAAATTCAAGTTTAAATGAATTTTTTTCGAGTTTAAATCAAGTATTTTATTTTTTGTGAATGCCAGATTTCAATTTCTACTTTTACTTTTTATTAAGAAAAAAAAGTGAAAAAGAGATACACTTAAATTTAGCGTTGAAAAAAGACTGATGCATGCGCATCATTCGCAACACCCTGGATCCGCCCCTGATAAAAAAACTTTTTTTGAGTTATCTTAAATTTATTAAGTGTATATTAGTGAACAATTTAAAAAATGCCTAAATTAAGAACAAATTATGCACAGGGCTGCAGAGAGGAAGAGAAAAAAGGAGCTTTGAGTGCCAAGATATTTGAGGTGCCAGAAGGCTAAAGACAAAAAAAAATCATAATGAGATTTAAATTCAAAAAAGTAATAAATTTTTATTTATTGATGAGGCATAAAATAAATTTACTTGGTGATGGGCATAGCAATTGACTTGCATTGTTTATATTACAAAGAACGTTGAATGAAATTAAAAGATTGATTAAAACCAAGTTAAAAACGTTGTTGTGTTTCCGCTTTCTCTTCAAACTCAGCATATAATTAAAAAAAATTACCTTTCTAAAATTTCAACAATCAAAGGTTGTAAGAATACTTTTAAAAGAGTTTATTGAAGAAACAAGAATTACAACCTGCACTAATTTATTTTAATGGTTTGCAACATGGTTTTTAAAAAGTGCTGATGTTGTGGGTACCAAGAACGTCAGCACTTTTTTAAAAACCATGTTACAAAACCATTGGAATAATCTAGCCCAAGGTGTAATTCTTGTACTTACCGTAAACTCTTTTAAAAGTATTTTTATGATACTATTTTAGCTGCAGCAATGTCAATGTCGCATGGTAGCCTGATGTTGCTTTCTTTCATCAATAATAAATTTTCTATGTATAAGTTTCTTTGATTATTGTAATAAATTAATGAAAATCTAAGACAGCTTTGTTTTTAGCTGCAGTCCCACAAGATGGAATCTTGCTTTGCAAGCATTCGGACACCAGATGTTTAGCTGAGATTGCTGCTATAAAATTATTTCTGAAATGACTGTTGCTCTAAAGCTCTTAGCGATGAAACAGAATTTTTTGAAAAGCAAATGATGATAGCACAATCGTAATAAACTTGAATATACAGTTTTTTCCATGAAGTCCCTTGAACATAATCTTTAACGCTGCGCTTTATCATTTCAACCAACAAATTCAATTGGGATTGTAAAAACTATTTCAGTAAGATTCTCATTCATCTGGGTAAAATATCAAGAACCGGTAAAAATTAAAGATTGAAATGAAAGATATTTTACATCTTAATAGTCTTTTGGAAATACTATAGGCTTTTGCAACTAAATACACAAAAGGTCTATAGTAGACCGATTCAAAAAATTTTTTTATAGTTAAGTGGCATGACGTTTAAATGTTGTTAATTGATGAAAAAAATAAATCTATAAAATTTCAAAGCATTATTCCAACACTTAGTAACAGCTCAATTAGCTTTACATTTTAACGGGGTTCTCAATTAACTTTACTTTTCCTCGTATTTAAAAAAGTCAACCTGGTACTCAAATAAAATATATATTTCAAAAATAATAATCTTTTTATAAAAAGTTTTTTTTTATCATTAACATTTTTTTAAAAAAATGTTAATGATAAATGCACTTTTTATTTCTAGATAAAAAATCATAGTTTTTATGCAATTAAATCTAAAATGATAATAGTAGAATGAAATGATTTTTTTTTTAAATTTTTTTACATAATTTTGCTACTTTTAAGACCCAATATGACATACTTTTGAAAAACCTTTCTTTTTTTTAAAATAATAGAGACCTGTTAAAATTTAGCAGTCCCTAAAACAATCTATTTTAGCTTTCAAATTTTAACTAATTTTCCTGACCATAAACCACATCAAATCAAAGGATAGCCCAATTAAAGTTCAAAAATTTTTTTTTTATATGCAATTCTGAAATGGTCTAGTATATAACCTTTTTTCCAATCTATGTTGTATTGTAGTTTATTCTGTCATCCGGTTATTTGCCTTACTGATGTCCTCATAATAAAATATAATGTCAAAATGTAAAAAGTTATAAATAAAAATAAAAACATTTTATAAAGATGTTCCATATATTGGACCCATATATACCATAAAAAAAATCCATTGGTAATATAAAAATTTTAATTTCAGAAAAAAAGAAAAAGCTCTTCAAAATAGCCACGAACATCTACTATCAAATTTATTTTTGTTTAAATGTTTGTCTTGTTTATTTCGTTGTGTTAGCATGAGTAACTCATTTTTAAATAGTTTTCAAATTTTTCCACCAATAAATATTTTTTCATAAATATTTTGTTTTCATATTGACAACTCATCCTGTTAAAATATATTTCAATTTCATTAGATTTTTTAATAACAAACTGCAAAAAAACCTCTTGCCTGCTTTTTTTTTCAAATCATATTAAAATAAATTTAAAATTGTTAGCGTGAGGATAATTGGTAGAGTAGAGCTGATCTAACATATCTAAAGCATTAAATATTTGTGGCTGAACTTTATCGCATTTGTACATCATATGGACAATATTTTAAGTTTTTATTTAACACTGTGGACAAAGTTTGTCTTTTCTAATCTTAAATTCAAACATCTTATTGTTGCTTGTTTGCTTATTGTTTATTGTTTTCGTTTATTGTTTTCGTTTATTGTTTTCGTTGATGGGCAATATAAAAATGTGCTGTTTTAAAGAGAATTTTACTAGTTTATTATTGTTGTTTGTTTTATGGAGATTTAGTAAAAAATGTTTCCAATCTTTTTCATATAAATTTTTCATGCTTTCAAAAGGTGCTTTCCAATTATAAAATATATATTTTAGTTTGTTTATTGGTTTATTTAATAAGTTACATAAAGTTACAACTGTTAGACTTTTATATTCGTACTTTGTTTTTCTTTTGTCTATATAAAAAGAAACTCTTATAATCATATCTTTGGAATTTCGTTAAAATTTGTAATATTTTCTAACTTCAAGTCAAGTCTATGATTTTATTGTGTAAAAAACCTAGCTGAAATGTATTTGTAACATTGGCTACTACTTCAATCTTGTTTTTTACATATGTTTTGTTTGGAGTTACAAACTTTTTAAGGAACTTTTTAATCATTGTGTTAAAAAGAAGAGTTTGTTTCAAAAATTTCTGTTTTATTTTATGCCAATTGACTAATAGCTGAGAGTAAAAAAGGGGTAACAAATTGGTCTGAGTAGGGATAGTTTCAAAAATGTATTTGCATTTGGTTCGCATTTCTATAGTGGTTTAGTATGTGAACCATTGCATTCTTCTAAAGCCCATCTATATTTTCATTGTAAAATTTGCTTACCCAAGTTTTAAGTTTGTTGCTTTGACAGCTTTGACAGCTTTTTGTTGATTAAGCAGTTAATTCTTGTGCCACCGTTTTTTATTTTTTTTGTATTTTTTTTCTTCTTAAGTTTACATAATTTACCTCACCAAAAAAAGTATTTTGCTTTAATTTTGGTCAAAATTCTTTTGTTTGAATGTAGTGCTACATTTTCCAATCTATATGCATTCTAATCTATATTTTACATCTGTGCTACATTTTCCAATCTATATGTATTCTTATAGGGGTGCCTAATTGCTGCTATGCCCCAGGTGTCATGAAAGCTCTCTGTGGCCCTGATCATGCCTGTACATTCTTCTGATAACCAATCATTGACATTTTTCGGAAGTATTGTTTTTGAAAAGTAATATTTTTAAGATAAATTTGTTTGTATTTTAATACAAAAAATTTATATTAAAATACATTACAAAATTTAAAATTCATTTTATATTTTAAATATTATATTTAAAGCGCCAAAATATTTTTTTCATCCACCTTCAAAATGTCTAGTGCTGAGCCTGTATATATATATGCATATCATAAAAAGATATAGACTTGCATAATGGTTCTTAAGGAAATTACAACTTATGTAAAAAATCTTATGAGAGTTTTAGTAAAATTATCAAATATCATTAAAAAAAAATAATTAATGAGCAATAAGTTAGTTATAATTTTTTAAGCTTTATATATTTTCACACGTTTGTATTGTTTTATAGAATCTAAACATAACTTATGTACTACTTCATAATTTATTAAAATTGTTTTCAAGTTCGTGATATTTATTCTAATACTAAATTTATAGTGTTTCTCTGCAGAAGATATTTTTGAAATTTTCAATATTAATGAGACAACCATTTCGAAAGAAAGTTTTCAACAGATATGTCCATCATTGATTCAGCAAGTTGTTAGTGGATATTGTATAGATTCTATAGAAACACAAAAACACTCTGAAAGTACTTGGAAATGTAGGTTTAGTTTAACTATGCTATTTATTTTTATTTATGTTATTAACTATAAACCAAAGTACTTGTTTGTTTCTCTTTTTCAAAATAATACAATTATTTGATTGATCAAAACAAGTAGTACTATTTTATTATTAAATTATTCTATTTTTGTGTCACAAAATGACATTTTTCTTATTTAGTGAATTAATTTCTATTGCTCTGATTAGATAATAACTCCAGCCTTGGTTGGTGATATGCACTGAAACCTACCAGCAGATGGTTGATATAGCAATTTTCTTTAGCACTTTAGTACACACAGCAAGCCTTCACAGGATAGATGTGCTGTGTGTACTAAAGCCCTGAAAATTATCATTTGCTGGTGGGTCGCACGAATAAACTCTCTTGTGGGTCGAAAATAAACTCTCTTGTTCACAATTTGGAGAATCTGACAAAAGCGGAGAGTGTAGCAATTAGGCAATGACAGAGCCAGGCAATTTTGTAATGGAGGGTCATTTTTAGATTTTTTTGATTTGGCCAGACTGTCTATTAGGGGTTTGATTTTTAAGGTATGATAATTTGTAACCTGACAAGACCATAATTTAAAGTTTGCGTTACACCAATTTTATTAAAATTTCATGTTACTTTTAAACAGCCTCACTAAATAACTTAGGTTTTCAAAGAACTTAGGTTTTCAAAGAATATATAGCTTTTAAAAACAAAATGACATGAATATCTAAAGAGGAGGGGGGGGATCCGTGTATATTATGCCCTTCCCTTCTTTTCTTCTCCCTAATGGATCTGCCATTGCAATGGAGGTAGTAAATACATTGATATTTAAACATTTTTATTAAAGGCTTACTAAAATTATTATTGACAATAAAATCTTGTTACATTTATAGATAAATATTTTACAAATAAATTGCAATTAGTTTTCTCACTTCCTTGTAAATCAATAAAAAATGTAAAGTCTAGCAAAAACATTTGAAAAAAATGAATTTAAAAATTATTCATAGTTCTAGCCAGGCTTGTGGAGCTGACTTTTTTTTTTTTAGGGCTCGGCTCCAGCTCCGGCTCCTAAGAAATATCCAGTTCCAGCTCGGCTCCTGGCTTCTTAACTTTATGAAAAAAAATCGCAAGTTTAAAATTTTTTTATCACAATTCACCTCCTCAAGGACGAGACGGCTACTACAGACGAGGAGGCTACTTATTTGTGGCTATAACCCTCTCTCAACTCTATAACTCCGAAACACGAACCTTGACGAACAAGGCCGCAGCGCGGAGAAACAAGTTGAGCGCGGTACTACCAGGGACGTGGTGGGAATCCAACTCGGAACCACTCGTTTATGAAGCGAGCGCTCTACCACTACATCACTACCGCATTTGCCAACCCAAAACTATACCAATTACAGCAATTTATTTTTAACCAACTCTCATGATTACAAGGTTATTGTATTACTATCACTACTCTACTACAGGATATTACATTTGAAAAATTTATTTAGGTAACTAAACACTTTTTTCTATATATTATTTATCCAAATCTAAAGTTTTTGGTTCAAATTTTAGTTGTAATTCTACAGGGGGCAAAGTACTTTAAAAGGACGTTCAAAAGACGTCTTTTAAACGTCCCAAAGACGTCCAAAACGTCTTTCTTATGTTCTCACTAATGACATAAGAAAGACACCTTTTAAACGTTTTTCTTATGTCCTCATCTTTTAAACGTCTTTCTTATTTCCTTTTTTTTTCTTATGTCCTCACCTAAAAAAGACGTATTTTTAGCGTTCAAAAGATGTCCAAAATGTTCAAAAGATGTTCAAAACACTCCAAAAACGTTTAAAAAACCTCTTTTGTATATCCTATGCCATGGGTAAAACATGCGATTATTAAATTAAAAACAATAAAAAATTCAAAATAGCTCAATTAATTCAAAAACTACAAAAAATATTTATTTTAATCTAAAGAACTTGAAGATTATAAGAGTGCTTTTTGCTTTAATACTTTTATTATTTCAAATAAATAAGCAAATATTTACGCTTTTCAATGGCATTAACTTCTGTACAGTGTCTTTGCAAATCTTTTTTCCTACTAATGTCCATTCTCTAATCAAATCTCTAATAAAATCTTAGCCATATTTATTGTTTTGCCAATTTTACGCAAATATCCTTTGACAATTCCCCAAAATTTCTCAATGGAATGGAACTGTGTGCAAATTGATGGATTCAAGCTTTTTGGTATGAATTTGATGTCACTCTTCTTAGAATAATGACAAGAAGCAAGAATAGGCCAGAAACAATAAGGAACATCCAAGTTTAAAGTTTGACAAGCATATTGCTTGCCAAATTTTAATCTTTAAAAATGTCTCTGAACCTTTATATCCTTTGGCTCATTCTCCGTTTGATAAGCTGGGGTTATCAAATCAGATAGAGAGCTCTTGTATTGTTTTATGACCATACAAACAGTAGTTTTGCTAGATTCAGATGCCTTAGCAATTGAAATTAACGATGCAGAATGTTTCAATGACATTTTAATTAAGAGAAATATTTTTATTCGTTTGTTGATGTTTTTAATTAATACTATAACTACTTTATGTAATTATGCAAAAAAATAATTTAATAATGTGTTAGTGACAAGTTTTAAGCGAAATTTATCGTTCTAAATTAAACGATTGCATGCTTTAGTTTAATTTTAAAGATATGAATAACCTTTGATTATTAAATTACGCATTAAATATTTAACAACATAGTATCAGTATAAAAATATAACATAAAGCAATATGTGCATCATTGTAATGTTTCCATTAATAATTTACTTTTTTTAAATAAAGAATATGAAGAAATGCTAATAAAGGATAGTAATTTGTTGAGCACAAAATTGTTAAAATATTCATTTTTATTAAGTTTTAACATAACCATAACTATAAGAAAAATATTTAAAAAAATAGAAGTTCAATAAATAATTCATTCAACAAATTAGTTAAACAACAAATGAATAAAGTTTGTCTACAGTAAAAAAATAAACATACATTCTATTCCTTTAAAAAAACCTGAAGACCCGATATTTAGAAGAATATTTAATTAGAAGCCTGGTTCTAGCGTAAATATTAAAGTATTAATATATTGAGTATTGAGCAGCCTTAGCACAGTGGTTAGCACGATTGCCTCTTAAGCTAGAAATCCATGGTTCATTGCCACCTTTGGGCAAGATTTAAACAACCGCAAGAAAAGAGGCGTGAACTTCCTTTCAATTGCTCTTTAATAGTGCTCTGTGACCGTAAAGACTTCTTGTAGCACCTACAATAAAACAAAAATTAAAAAATTTCTTTATATACAGACTAATAAAAATCGTGAATAAGTTATAAATCAAAGAATCTTTTTTATTTTTGGTTTAATTTTTATAAATTAGTTTCTTTTTTTCTTTTTTTTTTTATGACTTGTATCATTTTTCATAGCCGTCATAACTACCACCCTTTAAAAAAAACAAAAAAAAACAGTAAAATAATTAGGTTAAATATATTTTTAAAAAAATGCTGTCAATTTGTCTAAAAAATTATTTTATGCATAGACAAACAAGGTGTGTGACCGCATGCCTTTCCTGGGACAGACTGCACAGGGTTTGAGTAGCTTCACTCTAAAAATTAAGGATGTTTATTATGGCAAACAAAATTATACTACATGTTTTTTGTTGTTTCATTATTTGTTCATTTTTTCTTCTTTTTTTGAAAAAACATTAGGGATTTTAAACTCAGCATTAGAGAAAAATATATTATAGCAGACATGTCCCTTAAGCAAGTACTTTAATGCATGCCATCATGCACACAAGCCATTTTTTATTTGTCACATTTAAGAGATTGAAAAAATAGAATAAACACTTATAATTTTTTGTGATTGTTATTAAAGTTATTAAAGAAAGGAAATGAACTTATTTGTTTGGACTTTTAAAATGTTAATGGATATTTAATAGCAAGAGCTTTTATTAATGGATATTTAATAGCAATACTTTTTAGGTTAAGACTTTTTTTCAGTGAGCAAATCCAGGTTTTGTGTTTTTTATAAAATCCTGACACAAATATAATAAGTGTTTGAATATCAAATTTATTTTTAATAGTGCATAAATTATAACAAATTTTGCTATAATATATTGAAAAGAATTATTTAATATAATAAACCTAATTTATCGCAAATTATTATAAGAAAATAAGTATAAATTGTTTTAATAAATTTCAATAATTTGGGTCTTGATTTTACAAAAAACTAGAAATTCGGATTTGCTCACTGGAAAAAGAATCAACCTACTTTTTAAATATATTTTTTATTTTGTTAAAAAAAAAAATTTTGTAATGTTTTAAAACAACCACAAACTTCTATAATAACAGAACTTGACATTACGCAATAAAGTGAAGGCTGGTTTATAATATTGTGTTTACATTTTCATTTTTTAACTTTAGATAAAAGTTTGCATTTGTGCTTTTTTAATAAGTTTTTTAAATTTGGTTTATAAATTAGATAGTGCAACATTTATGTTTATTCTTTCTGGTTTTTCTTTTTTTCTTTTTTTTTTCAAATTTAAGAAGAAATACGGTAATTTATTGTTTATTGTTTTCAAATAAATTGTTTTCAAAGAACATGTAACTAAAATTTAAATAAGATTGTTGTAAGTTAGATCTGTATTTTTTTCTAGCATGGGTTGCAACATTTATAGCTATTTTTGTCATTAATTTGGGCTCATTAATTGGCTTGTTTGCTGCACCTGTAATTAAAAAGAAGTGGTTTTCATTTCTTCTTTTGTTCGTAATCAGTATGGCTGTGGGAGTGTTATCAGGTGATGCAATCCTTCATCTACTGCCTCATGTAATCTAATTTTCATAAAATACTTAAATTTTGTAATTTTTTTATCTAGTTTGTTTAAATTCAACTATAACTTATCTAGTTCCATAGTAAGCTCAACAGAATTCAATTTAAAAATATATTGTTAGAGTATATTTCTTCATAATTTATCTCTATACTGTAGTTGTCTTTATTATATAATTTTTTTAACGAGCAAGTGGTTTGATTTTTGCTTTATTTATTATTTATCTATATTATATATATTTATTATCTTGTTATTATTGTTACTTTTAATGTTATTATTATATTTAATTATTATCTATGATATGTACATACAATTTATATTGTATTATAAATATTCTAAATATTATTGATACTTTATATTTATTGTTATTATTTTGTATTATTTGTTTAACAATCTTTTCTTTTTTTTTTCAAGTATTTATGTTTTTTAGGTGTCACTCCATTTACTAGTTTGTAACTATATGAGTGACACCTAACCAAATCTATTAATTTATGATGAGATTTGTAAATTTTTATTGATATGGTTGAATTAAAAAAAAATAATAATAATAATCAAATACTTAGTAGACAAGATTTAAAATATCTATGTTTATTTAAGATATATGTTCAATATGCAATATGTAATATATGTATTCATATGTAATATATGTATTCATATGTAATACATGTATTCATATGTAATACAATCAAAAATTAAATTCAAATAACCTCATACAATATTGATGAATAAATACATACATGCAGGGGTGTGGTGGCCTCTGAGGCCATGTAAGATTCCTGCATATGGGCCTTTAATCCAAGTATGGGCCTTTTAGCAATTTTTACTTAGCATTCTGAAACAACTAAATAGCATTTTTTTTAAATATGAAATTTTTTTCAATTAAGTAACTGCTAAATAAGACTATTATACAAAAACTCTTTATATTTAAGGTATTAGTGCTATTAATAGCTAATTTAATACAATTTATATTATAATAAAATAAATAAGATTACATAATAATCAAAATCTTTCATTTTTAATTTTGTGTTAATTCTTTAAACAATAAAATAAAAATCGTTTTTGGTTACAAAAATTTGGCAGCAAAGTTGCATTTTAAGGAAATCAAAACAAAAACATGATTGCTGCAGCACAGTGTTGCCATTTTTAGTTTTAAAGTTATAAACAAACCTCAACTTGTTGGTTTGTATTAAAAACTTCAACTTATTTGTGTGTATTGACAATTTATTTAAATATAGTCAGTTTTTTGGTGATATTCTAAGTATGTATATTAGGGTGTCCCAAAATGACATGAATTTTTTTAGTTTCTAACTATTTTTAGATTTTCATTTAGTTTCATATGTATTTTTATCTTTAAAAGCAAAAAAAAAAAAAAAAAAAAGCAAAAAATTTTCATATTTGACCCCCTCCCCTGCCGCTTTTTTTTTTGTGTTTTTTTTTTCTAAAAAAATGACACAAAGGACTAAAGTTGTTTTTGATAATCAACTATGTTTGCATTTTTTATAATTTTCTTGTGTAATTTTGTTTAATAAAACTTAAGCAATTATTATTTTCTAAAAAAATTCATATTACATCCTAAAACAATCCTTAATATACTTCTTTTATATATCTATTATTTATATCCAATATAATTAACTGTTATTATAATTTCAAATAGTTTTGTAATAAATAAAAATAAAAATTTATCAAAAATAAACACCTGGTTCATGACCTCCCCCCATCCTTTCTAATAATACCCTTGTCATTTTTTTCTGCCTAAATACCAAACTTTATAATTATAATTTTTAATTAAAACAAAAAACTTGATAAATACTCAATTATTAAACAAAGAAGCAAAGAAATGATTGGTATAAGTCAACAATATTAAACAAAGAAGCAAAGAAATGATTGGTATAAGTTAACAATATTAAACAAAGAAGCAAAGAAATGATTGGTATAAGTTAACAATATTAAAGCACAATAGGAATAAGTACTAAGAAATTCAAAATTTCATTTTTTTAAAATTATAACAACAAAATAACATTATTTTAAAGGTATTATAAAAAAGAGATTGTTTAAAGCATATTTTCAAAAATTAAGTTTTTGAATTGCTTGTTTATTTATGTGAAGAAGAACTTTTCGGTGGTGTTCTAATGCACATAAAAGAAATTCTTTCTGCTCATCATCTTTTGTAATAAATGTTGCATGGTCTTGAATTAGTTAAACAGCTTGTTCTGCTGTGTTGTTTACAGATTTCAGTGATTTGATATGCTCAAACATGAAATTAAAATTTGTGTTAGCTTTCCAAAACTTTGGGGATTTTACCAACCAACCTCCGTCATTTGAATATCCGAATAAATTTAGGATGTTACTTGATTTTGGTCCAATTAAATCAGTCAAACAAGTACTTTGCTTCAGAAGAGGAAATTTTTTTTTTTTAAAGTAATATCTGATGTTAATGAAAGTTTAAGTCATACCTCATTTTTAAAGTGTCTAAATGGCTCATAATTTGGAGATCTACATTCTCCAAAAACTTTTAAGTAAACAGAAGACAAAACTCTTTCAAAAATATGGTTTCAGCAGATGCACCAAAGTAACTTTTTGTTCAAGTGTTCTTCAATTGACCTTGCAGAACTATTTATCCAACCTGAATTTAATGGAATTGTGTCAAAAATCATTGGCACAAGTGTTTTTTCTAGTTTCTATGTCTTTACAGCATCTATGGTAACTGTTGCTTGACTTTGCCCAGTTGTATCAGGAATCCTGGATACACCCAACAAATTCCCTTCAGGTGCACTTGGTTTTCCTGTTACAACAATAGCTAAACGTTCCACTCATCGACCTCAGATACAGCTTTGAATCTCAGTGAATGGAAGAGTGCATGGGTGAAATGAATGTTTTCTTAAGATCATCTGAAACTTGCTGTCAAATTTTATTACCTAATCTGTTTGCTGTGCTTTTTGAGATATTTCATCTAAATTGTGGCCTAATGCTTCAGCTATAGCTAAAAAGATTCTAAATCTTTCTCTGTTGGATAGATTCAACCATCAGCCATTAAGGAAACTTTAGGATTTTCTATTACCTTGATTTTTTTTTTCTGTCTAGCAATAGTACTTTCTTCATTTTTATTATGAGTTTTGTTTTTTAAAAACGTTAAGAGAAAGGCAAAATTTTTCTTGTCTTCACTTTTAACGGACAAAACTACACACACAACTAAAGGAAAAATTTTTTTGGGACACTTTAATGTATATATATATATATATATATATATATATATATATATATATATATATATATATATATATATATATATATATATATATATATATATATATATATATATATATATATATATATATATATATATATATATATATATATATATATATATATATAGAGAGAGAGAGAGAGAGAGAGAGAGAGAGAGAGAGAGAGAGAGAGAGAGAGAGAGAGAGAGAGAGAGAGAAAGAGAGAGAGAGAGAGGCAATTCCACGGCGCAAAGTGAAATAGTAGTCAAATTTTATTCTATTTTTTGTCAACTTTTAGCGAATGAATATTGATCTAGACACATAAAAGTTTATTTAAATTATACCTTTAGCACTCAAATTAATTTATTTTAGTCATTTTATGCTTCTGAAAGTTACGGTTTTTCTTATTGTCACATGATAAAAAAGGTATCATTGTAAAATGTTATTCTAACCATGAATTTATTTGCATAATCGGAATTAAATTAGCGTGAAAATGGAGCTAACATGTTCAAATTGTTGTTGGTCAGATTTTATACTTAATAAAATATACTCTAAGAATAGCAAATGAACTTTTGCAAATTTCATGTAATGTAAGTTAACAAAAACATGATAAGTTGTTATAAAAGTTTTTTAATAATATATGCGAAAAAATATTAAATATAACATTTTTGCATTTAAAGTTTTGAATAACGATGCTAAGTTAGAACACAATTTTATTTTAAATTGTGTAACGTAAGTTAAAACTACAAACATTTTCTTAAGTTCTGGCGCTTTGTCGTTAACAAAATTAAATATGTCATTAATTAGTTATTATTTTGTTGATAAGGTTTTAACTGGAACTTTTTATATTAGGAGAATTTAGAAAAAAATATTTTATTTTTTTTAATGTTAATTAAAATTATTTATTGCTTTTTTTTTTTGTTTAAGTATTCTTACTTTATTCGACATAAATACACATAAATAAATAAAAATAAGAATTATATAAATATTTGTATTTAGACAATTAAAAAAACAGATTTATTTGCCATTTTCCTAATATAAAAAAAATCAGAATTTTTTTTGTTTTTGTTTTAGTAAAACAAATCTTTTGTAAATGGTATTACGAGTCATCCATAAAGCGTGTCACCCTATATTTATCAATTTTTAACCCCTTCCCTCCTGTCATAAACGATCACATATACCAGAATCCATCTCCCTTCTAAACTGTGATAGCAGTTTTTCTTCAAAAATATTTCGAAAGATTTAAATGTAAATATTTTGCAGCATTTAAAAAATCAACCTAATGAAAACATGGCAATACGCATAAATGTAAGGAGTGTAAGTAAAAACTTCAAAAAACTAAAGATTTTTATATTTAAACAACTCAAATTTGTATTAAAAAAGGTGTAATACTAAAATAATTTTTTAAAGTTGCTCTTGGTCTAACTCGAAATAATAGAAGTAAAAATCCACAATAATAATCGCAAGGTAACGTAAGTTAGATACATAGTATCAAAAAGTATGATAAAAATTTTTATATTTTTTAAATTTTGGCATAGAATTCATTACATCTTGTAAAAGTTTCTAATATAAACTGCTTTACTGATTCGCAGAAATCTAACCTAAAAGTTGAAGCAATTTTTTTACCTAGCCTTTTTTTTACCTAGCCTTTTTTTTACCTAGCCTTTTTTTTACCTACCTTTTTTACCTTTTTACCTAAAAATTACATTTAAATTTTGGCATAGAATTCAATACATCTTGTAAAAGTTTCTAATATAAACTGCTTTACTGATTCG